GATCAGCAGGGGGCAGTGCTGAGCAGGGAGCAGTGGGGGAGTGGCTCTGTCCTAGGAGTGACCGCTGGTCAGGGAAAGGCACTAGTAGGCGGGTCGCTGCATCAGCTGGAGCTCAAAATCCAAAGCAAACTTAAGTTCTCCCAGTTCCTGGACGAGGTGACCTACCAAGTGCTGAGGCCCACCAACCTGCTGGCCTTTCAGTGCCGCAGAAGATCCAGCTCAATCGACTCCACCTGCGTGCAGCCGCAGGCTCCCCGGGACCAGCTGGAGGACAGGTCAGCCAGACCATTCCAGCTCAGGATGCAGGAGACGGTGGGCAGAACTTATCTGGAGACAGACATTGACAGCATCTTTAGAGGTGAAGAGCTGAAGGAGGTGAAGGTCAAGAAAGAGACGGCCATAACTTTCCAGAGTACAGATAGAAAGGCGGTTACGGAGACTCCAGAATCCAGTCCAGGGTCCCACCAGAGCTTATGGAGCTTCTCCAGAAATCCGCCAAGATCCATCTCACTGCCCAGAGGCATCAACATGGTGAGTGGATTATAATGTTTCTGTAGTTTTATGTACCAAAAAGTCACAATAAATTTTTACAGACCATTTTATAACCCCTCTTTATCCCTTACTATCAAACACGCTGGTTCTAGTACTGTACCTTTAAGACTGATATGTGTAAATGAGCTCTGTTCTGATTGGCTGTCCTCATTCATGAAGCAGTCCAGGCTGAAACACTTCCTATAACTACAGCATAAATGGGTGGGGCTCAACTGCTGTAGGCTGAATGGTGAAGCAAAAATGGTTTAGGCTGAATGGGCGTGGCTAAACTGCTGTAGGCTGGATGGGCGGGACTAAACTGCTATAGGCTGGATGGGTGGGGTTAACCTGCTGTAGTCTGGGTGGGCGGGGCTAAACTGCTGTAGGCTCTAGTGTCACAATTAAAAGAAGCAAATTCAGACTCCAAATGTGTTTTGTAGTAAACGTTAGAGTAGTAAACAGTGCAGGGCTGACTCATCCAATCTCAATCAGACTGTTATCAGCAGAAGCTTATGCATTACTCTCGCCCTCTCTCTTTCTTTCTCTCTCTCTCTTCCTCTCTGTCTCTCTCTCTCTCTCTCTGCCTCATTTCCCTGCCTCTCGCTGTTTAACAGGCTGATATAAACCACCCTGCAGGAGACTAGCTGTACACAAACCAGCAGTAAACCCACTCGGCTGTAAGAGAACACTCTGTTTTCATACAGCAGTGATGGAGTGTGGAGCTAGTTTATCTGATAAAATTCAGAAACGGTAACTTTTATGCTACATTAATATCATTTTTTCCATGTAATTTTGGATCATTTCTGTCCACACAATGCAAAAAGCAGCAGTGTCTGGCTGCACTAGCTGTGCGTAAGTTTAAATGTAGGCTATTTGTAACGTGTTTACTAAGTACAGGTTTATCATTACTAAATCAGAAGGACCTGCACCACAAACTAGTTTCATTAGTGGTTTCACTGTATATTCTCTGTCATGAAATCATCCATAACTGAATAGTGATTTCATTATTCCAACCAACCAGCTGTCAGTAGCAGTAATGCTAACCAACCATCACTCAGTAGCAGTACTGCTAACCAATCAGCACTCAGTAGCAGTAATGCCAACCAATCAGCACTCAGTAGCAGTAATGCTAACCTTTCTGCACTCAGTAGCAGTAATGCAAAACAATCAGCACTCAGTAGCAGTAATACTAAACAATCACTGCGCAGTAACAGAAATGCTCACCAATCAGCATTTAGTAGCAGAAATGCCAGCCAATGAACATTCAGTAGCAGTAACACTAACCAATCATCACTCAGTAGCAGTACTGCTAACCAATCATCACTCAGTAGCAGTAATGCCAACCGATCAGCACTTAGTAGCAGAAATGCTAACCAATCAGCACTCAGTAGCAGTAACACTAACCAATCAGCACTCAGTAGCAGTAACACTAACCAATCAGCACTCAGTAGCAATCCTGCTAACCAATCAGCATCCAGTAGCAATAATGCTACCCAATCAGCACTCAGTAGCAGTAATGCTAACCAATCAGCATTCAGTAGCAGTAACGCCAACCAATCAGCACTTAGTAGCAGAAATGCTAACCAATCAGCACTCAGTAGCCGTAACACTAACCAATCAGCACTCAGTAGCAGTAATGCTAACCAATCAGCATCCAGTAGCAGTAATGCTAACCAACCAGCATCCAGTAGCAGTAATGCTAACCAATCAGCATCCAGTAGCAGTAATGCTAACCAATCAGCATCCAGTAGCAGTAATCCTACCCAATAAGCACTCAGTAGCAGTAATGCTACCCAATCAGCATCCAGTAGCAGTAATGCTAACCAATCAGCATCCAGTAGCAGTAATCCTACCCAATAAGCACTCAGTAGCAGTAATGCTACCCAATCAGCACTCAATAGCCTTTTCACTGTAACAAATGGCTATTTTTTGTTTCATTCATTCAAGACTTGCTCATGGGCGCCCTCTAGTGTTTGTTGTCATGTGTTTTTTTTTAAATAATGTGAGAAACAGGCAGTTGCTATAAACCAGCTTTGATATAGTTGAAAGTACTGCTAAAAGAGAAAAGCTATTTCGGTCAGTCAGTATCACAATATACTGATACAGGCGATATATATCGCCCCACCCTGAGCTAATGGTATACTCTCTTTAATCTCAGCTCAGATTAAGGCTAGCTGTAATCTACACTGAGCAGGAGGGTGGGGCCTGGTCATTACGGTGCTGTGTGGATCAGACGCTGATTGATCCGTGTTTATGTAACAGGGCTGAAATGTCGCCCGGCTGCTCTCTCTCTCTCTCTCTCTCTCTCGCCTGCTTCCATTCAGAAAATGTGAAATGAAATAAATAAAAACAAAGCGCATTATCTCCTCGTTATCTCGGGACGTGTTTACACGACGGATCCATACGTTCCAGCCAGCGTTCCAGCCAGCGTTCCGCAGCGGAACAGGAAAGAGCTCGTCGCCTTAATTTACTGTCTGATTAAAATGCAGCCGTCACCTTAGCAACTGCCTGAAAAAAAGGGTGGGCGTTGAGGGGGCAGGGAGACGAGCCGAGCGCTCCTGAGAGACACCGAGCGGCTCTTATAGGTGAACTCAGATACAACTACAACACGGCGAACGTATACAGAACAACATTAGCATTTATTATGCAAACGCAGCGTTTTTGGAAGCCGCGCTCCGCGTATGCAAATATCATAATCACCATGAACAAGCAGCTTTTTCTGCTGACGAGGTTCTGCTGTGTGTGAGGGGAACGTATGGACTCTGTAATGGAACCAGGATCTTTAGTCTATTTACCTAAACCTGAAAGAGAACCTGAACCTGAACTAGAAAGTGAGAGAGAGAGAAATTCTACATCTATCAACAGATGACTCCACCTGTTCTCTCATTTCCTCTCTCTCTCTCTCTCTCTCTCTCTCTTTCCTTCACTTTCTCTCACCCTCTCCTTCTTTCTCTCATTCTTTCCATCTTTCCTCTCTTGTTTGTCTCTCTCACTTTTTTGTCTCTCTGACTCCACTCTATTGTTTTCATCTCTCTCTCTCTCTCTCTCTCTCTCTCTCTCTCTCTCTCTCTATCCCTCTCTCTCTCTCTCTCCTGTTGTTTCTGTGCGTGTGCATGTTTGTGTGTGTGTGCGTGAGTGTGTTTGTGTGAGTGTGTGTTTGTGTGTGTGTGTTTGTGTATGTGAGTGTGCTTGTGTGAGTGTGTGTTTGTGTGTGTGTGTTTGTGTATGTGAGTGTGCTTGTGTGAGTGTGTTTGCGTGTGTGTGTTTGTGTATGTGAGTGTGCTTGTGTGAGTGTGTTTGCGTGTGTGTGTTTGTGTATGTGAGTGTGCTTGTGTGAGTGTGTTTGCGTGTGTGTGTTTGTGTATGTGAGTGTGCTTGTGTGAGTGTGTTTGCGTGTGTGTGTTTGTGTATGTGAGTGTGCTTGTGTGAGTGTGTGTTTGTGTGTGTGTGTTTGTGTATGTGAGTGTGCTTGTGTGAGTGTGTTTGCGTGTGTGTGTTTGTGTATGTGAGTGTGCTTGTGTGAGTGTGTTTGCGTGTGTGTGTTTGTGTATGTGAGTGTGCTTGTGTGAGTGTGTTTGCGTGTGTGTGTTTGTGTATGTGAGTGTGTTTGTGTGTGTGTGTTTGAGAGTGTGTGAGTGTGCGTGTGTGCGTGCGTGCGCGCGTGTGTGTGGTGGTGACAAAGATTTCCGCTTTCACTTGAATCTTTCAGAATTAAGAAAGAAAGATAAAGGAAGCATAGCTAGAGTGAGAGACAGAAAGGGGGGAGAAAGGGAGAAAACAGAAAAAAGGAAGACATAGGAAGAGAGAAAAGAAAGGGATAGGACATTGAGAGAGAGAGAGAGAGAGAGAGAGAGAGAGAGAGAGAGAGAGAAGGGAAGACCGTAGAGACAGAGAGAGAGAAAAAAGAGAACGAGAGTGATAGAGAAAGAAATGAGAGAGAAAAGTAAGAGAGAGAGAAAAGAAAGGGATAGGGAAAGGCGAGGGACTAGAGACAACGAGAGAGAGAGAGAGAGAGAGAGAGAGAGAGAGAGAGAGAGAGAAGATGGGAGGAGAGTCTTAGAGAGAGACAGAAAAATAGAGAAAAGAGAAAGTGAGAGAGAGCAAGACAGAGATAGAGATAAAGAAGGGAGATAGAGATAGGGGAGGGAGTAGGGACAGTGTGTGTGTGTGTGAGAGAGAGAGAGAGAGAGAGAGAGAGAGAGAGAGAGAGAGAGAAAGAGAAAGGAGGTGGGGAGAGAAAAGGAAGAGAGAGGGAAAAGAAATGGATAGGGAAGGTGAGGGAGTAGAGACAGCGAGGGGAGAAAGAGAGAGAGAGAGAAAGGGAGGAGAATCTTAGAGAGAGACAGAGAAATAGAGAAGAGAGGGAGTGTGGGAGAGCAAGACAGATAAAGAAGAGAAATAAAGATAGGGGAGGGAGTAGAGACAGTAAGAGAGAAAGAGAGAGAGAGAGAGCAAGAGAAAGGACAGGATAGTCTTAGAAAGATAGAGAAGAGATGGAGTGAGAGAGAGTGTGTGTGAGAGAGAGAGAGAGAGATGGGGAGGGAGTGGAGACGGTGAGAGAGAGAGAGAGAGGTAGAGTGAATGTTGCAGTGTGCAGTGAGGGTCTGTCAGTAGCAGTGAGAGTGCAGTGCTGCCTGTTTCACTCCTTTCTGTTTTTCTTCTTCTTGTTTTCTCCTCATCCATCCAGGCTTGTGACGAGGAGATGCAGACCATAAGGTAAGCGCTTTTCTCCCCCCACTGCCCCCCTTCCCCCTCTGGGTTTTCCTCAGTACAGCAGGTTGCAGATCGCTCCAGTTCTTCTCTTCTGGATGCAGGATTCCCCAGCGTTCCTCCATCCGCCTGTCTGCGGGAGATGAGGAGGTGTGGGATGGGAAGGTAGAGGAGAATCTGAGTGAGGATGTGTGGTGCTGAGTAGTTCTGCATGCTGGTGTGAGGGTGGTCTGAGAAGTGTGCGCAGTTCTCTGTGAGCGCCGCGCCGCTGGGCTGCCGGACGCTGTGGCTGCTCGAATGTCTGTTTCTGTCCATCTCCTCTGTTTCTGGACCATTACAGCCTTTTTTACTCCATCACTCCTGCGGTAGAAGGATGGTGGGATTTAATGGGGGAAACACCGTCCCCCCCGCCATCCTACTCCCCCTCCTCCCCCTCCTAGCTAGCTGGAGTGTTTTAATCAGGTTCTGCTGAGCGTTCTTGCTCTGCGTTAGTCAGAGGAGAGAGAGCACAGCCGGGCGAGCAAGGCAGGATGTACGTGTGAAACTCACAGCTTCCCTTGTGAGCTCCAGGAATTATTGCCATGGTGACACACACTGTACCCAGCGGGGCTCCGGCGTAACGGTGCTGAACGAGAGAACCCGGTGCTGATCTGTTCCAGTGACAGAACCATTCTCAGAGCAGCTCTGTCTGTAGAGCAGTGTTCCGTACATATTACAGCTGATAGAGCGCATATGGGGAGATAAACAGCTCTGTGTGAGTCTGTACAGCAAAACAGCACTGATTCAATAACAATAACAGCACATATTACTGATATTACTGTATCACTGTTATTACAGTTATTACAGTTATTACTGTGCACTGTACTTTACATCGTCCTTTCAGCTCTGAGCACTGTGTATGTATAAATTGGTCAATTACATATAAATGCAATGGTGATGGTCTATCTATCTATCTATCTATCTACCTATCTATCTATCTATCTATCTATCTATCTATCTATCTATCTAACTAGTTCAGTTCAGAATAGCTTTATTAGCATGACTGTGTGGTACAGTATTGCTAAAGCATCACAACATCTATCTATCTATCTATCTATCTATCTATAAACCTACTTGTCAATCTATTGACCATCAAGCGATCTATTAATCTGTTTATCAGTCAGTTTGTCTATCTGTTTGTCTATCTATCTGTCTATTTATCAATCTACCTGTTAATTGATTGATCTATCAGTTTATCAGTCAGTCTGTCTATCTATCTATCTATCTATTTATCTACCTGTCGATTGGTTAATCTATATATCTATCTATCTATCTATCTATCTATCTATCCATCTATCTATCTATCTATCTATCTATCCGTCTGTCTGTCTGTCTGTCTGTCTATCTACCTATCTATCTATCTATCTACTTGTCGATTGATCGATCTATCCATCAATCGATCTAAAAATCAATTTATCAATCAATCTATTTGTCTGTCTGTCTATCTTTCAATCTACCTATCTATCTATCTATTGCAGTACTGTAGTGTTGTAAGCGAAGCCCTAATTAAATGTGCATTGATTATTTAATGATGAAGGCGCTGCTCTCAGTGAGCTCCTGTAGTGTCAGTGTAGCTGATGCCTGAAGGGAGTGTGTGTGTGTGTGTGTGTGTGTTGGGGGTGTTGGGGGCGCTGTCTGTTCTGTTCTCCTGCTCTGTCCCATCATTAGGCCAATTCAACCCTCCGGAATGATAGTGTGACACTGTAAGAAGTGAAGGACTGAGGGCTGAGCGACAGCAGAGGAGGAGTGCAGCATCTAGCCATTCTGATTCATAATGAGCGCCCAGCGTGGCCCTGACCCCTGAGCAGCCCATCTGATGAAACGTCCTGAAATCTCTTTTCATCCCCTTATTCTCTCTTCTGCTTTATGAGAATGGCTCCTTCAGCAGGACTCAGATGGGAATTTGACATCCATTTGCAAACATGTCCGTTTGGAGAGTGACCGCATTCTAATAAGGACCAGTGGAAGGACTGGATCTGGAGATGTAGAGTTAGATAGCAGGACACTAAGATATTGAGTTAAAGTTTGGGTTAGGGTTAGATCTGAGTTAGGCCTTGGTCTAAGCTCGAACTGCAGATTATTTGATATATATATATATATATATAATTCATTTATAATCCCTTAATTCTTTGTCAGAAGCTGAACACCACTCGCTACTGGAACTTGTTTGGTTTAGGTTAACTTCAGGGTTTGATCAGGTTTAGAGTTTAGGTTATATTCAGAGTTTGGTCTGGTTTAAGGTTTAGGTTAGCTTTAGAGTTTGGTCAGGTTTTGGGTTTAGGGTTCAAGTTAGTTTAAAGGTCTAACTGAGGATAACAAATTGGCTCAGGTATTCTTTAGGGTCTGATTACGCATCTTGGTTAGTTTAAAAGTTGGGTCTTGATTTAATGTTTTCTTAGCTAGCTAACTAGCTTAGTGAAGTAAACCTAGCTTATGCAAAGTGTGTTCCTATTGGGAAATCGGCTCCTTATCATAACATAGGACTTTGGGAATATAGGTACGCTCTCCTTTACACTTTGGTGTGGTTTCGAGTTTAGGTTAGTCTTAGAATTTGGTTTAGCGTTTAGTTTAACGGCTTGGTGAGCTTTAATGTTTAGCTGTAGGGATTGATCTGTTTCAGCCTTTAGTTTAGCTTTGGGTTTGATCTGTTTTAGCCTTTAGATTAGCTTTGGGTTTGATCTGTTTTAGCCTTTAGGTTAGCTTTGGGTTTGATCTGTTTTAGTCTTTAGATTAGCTTTGTGTTTGATCTGTTTTAGCCTTTAGTTTAGCTTTGTGTTTGATCTGTTTTAGCCTTTAGGTTAGCTTTGGATTTGATCTGGTTTAGCCTTTAGGTTAGCTTTGGGTTTGGTCTGGTTTAGGTTAGCTTTTGGATTTTATCTGGTTTAGCATTTAGGTTAGCTTTGAGTTTGGTCTGGTTAAGCATTTAGATTAGTTTTAGCGTGGTCTGGTTTAGCATTTAATTTAGCTCTGGGATTAATCTTGCTCTAGATTAGCTTTAACGTTTAGTCTGACTGAAGGTTCCTCTTAGCTTAAAAGCTTGATCTGGTTTAGTTGAAACTAGCTTTAGGATTCAGTATGACTGAAGTACTTGTTTAGCTTTATACTGGTCTAGGCCGATCTAAGCTGGTTTATGCTGGTCTAGTGCTGGTCTGCTTCTGGTTTAGCTTGTCACTCAGCATGGTCATCCAAAACACAACATACGCTGGTTTAGCTGGTGACCAACCATGCTAATTGATGTCGGTTTTTCTAGAAGGTTGATTCTCCTGATGTTAAGTCCTTAGCACAAGTGATCTCTCTCTCTCTCTCTCTCTCTCTCTCTCAATTTCAGTGCAGATGTAGAATAAGGCTGAGAGTCTGCAGTGCTTTAGACTCTACAGCAGCTCCCAGAAGGTCTCACTGTGGAACTGAGCAGAATGATTTTGACCACCACTCTGTCCATCCGTCTATCTGTGCTGTGTTTGTCCCTCATGTATTGCACTTTATTATAAACCTCAATTATTCCCCTTAATGGCCATCAGCAAATATGCCTGGTTTTGTTATTTAAAACTTGCTGCATTGTGTTAAAAATGGATTTTGGAGTGTGTCATTTCTGAGGTGAGTCATTGGCATCAGTGGCAGTGATTGGACTTGAATCTGAAATAATATGAGGGTTGACTCCATTTCAGTGGCAGTGCTACAGACTGTCTGAGAGTCGAGGCTAGCAGTGTTAGCTGTGAGAGACAAACTCAGCATCTGTGTAAAAATCATATAAACCTCTACTCCATGTATAAAATATAAAATTATATACATATAGTTCATATAAACTAATTTAATACACCATAGATAGTACTGCTTTAGTGTATTTAAATGTAAATATGTGCAAATACTGTATGTGTAGACTACTAGTTAGTCGTGGGTTGGGAGAGAGGGAGGCCCTGAATGACCAGAAGCTCAAAGCTATTTCATAGTATTTATTGGTGTCATTGAGAAGATCATGTCTCCATGTTGGTAAGAAAGCTGTAACTCTGACTGTGATCTGACAGAGCTTGTCTCATCACCATTACTGCAGATACAGCCCTGCAGGTGGAAGACCAACAAAACAGACCATAATGACCACAAAACACATGAAAAGATAAGTGGACACTTTAGATGCATCTCCAGAAAACACTACGAGGAGAAGATTAGCTAGATTGGTGGATCCGTATAACCTGCACATCTCCAGAGTTCAGAACATTCTAGTGCGAGATATTTTATAAAAAATAATAAAAGTGGCCACCAAAACTGCCAAAGCTTTCAAATAATAAACTCATACACAGATATAAAGCTGAAGTCGGCTTCTTATTCACCAGCTTCTCATTTGAATTTTCCATTCCACCTTAAATGGTACTGCAGTTACACTGAGGTGCCTTAAACGCAGAAGTTTCAAACAAAAAGCTCTGAATATGAAGAAAACAGTTCATCTCAGTAAATGCTTTAATTTACCTCAATAAATGCTCCTTAATCAACAAACGCCTTAAACTTCGAGGTGTTTGATGAGCAGCTAACGAGCAGCACAGCAGAGCAGCTGTTGAATGTGTCTCACTAGCTGATCTCCACCGTGTCCCAAACCACACACTTCTGTACTTCACCTACTGCACTAATGAGAGCACTTCTAATGGGACATGTACTATTTTTACACACTATTTAGTGAGCTAGTATGTGGTTTGGGACAGAGCGCTATTAACGCAGTGGGAAATCTTTTCTCTGCCTTTGCTGGATCATTTATGGCTTTATCTCATTTCAAACAGCCACAGCACTACTGAGTGAACTTGAAGTTGCTGACCAAAATGGTGCCAGCGCAACTGTGATGTCATCAGAATACTATCAATCGGTCAGAAGGCTGCCCCTGATTGATCATAATCTCAGCCCTGACTGGTCAGAATCTTGTACCTGATTGATATAAAGTCAGAGCAGATGTTGTCGTGTTTCCATGGCAGCAGGTTTGCTGA